GTTCTCTTTTAGGCAGTGGTCAGCCATTTAAAGACTGGAGGTCATAGAGTGGGACAATCAGCTTTATGTTTTAAAAGATCCTGTAATGGATGGGTGCAGTGGTTCCCACCTGTAATCCCAGCACTTTGGGAGGCCAAGGAGGGCGGATCACAAGGACAGGAGTTCAAGACCGGCCTGGCCAAATTGGTGAAACCCTGTCTCGATTAAAAATACAAAAATTAGGCAGGCATGATGTGTGTGCCTATAATCCCAGCTACTCAGGAGGCTGAGGCAGGAGAATAGCTTGAACCCGGGAGGTGGTGGTTGCAGTGAGCCGAGATCATGTCACTGCACTCCAGCCTGGGTGACAAAGTGAGACTCCACCTGAAAAAAAAAAAAAAAAACAGATCCTGTAACTTAGTAATTCTTAAGTCTGGCTCATATTACAATTATCTGAGAGGATTAAAAAATACTATTGCCTGGTAGCCATGTGATTCTAATAGAATCCAAACCTCTGGGGTGGGACCCTGGCTCTAGTCATCTTAAAAGCTATATCAGATGATTCTAACATAAATCTAGGCTTCAAAATCATAGATATAAATGATGTGGGAGATGAGTTAATACTAGTACCTGTCGTAGAGTGGTCCAAGCTGACTTGACACACTGTGATTCCAGGTTATTTTCTCCAAACCTGATAATGTTCATGGATTGCACCAATAGAAGTATAGTTTCTGAATGAAAGAGGGAGTTCCTGCGCTCTTTGCATTAGACCCAGTATACCTGCAAAGTTTGTTCACTTCTAAGCAACTCACTCAAGGAGGAAATTAAGGAAACTGAAATATTCCCAGGAAAGAAGACAACCAGGTGGCAAAGGCAATCTAAACCACAATGGAGAGGAATGGTCCAGTAGCTCTGGATATGTTTAATCTACAGTCAAAATCTCTTTTGAAAAGGATGATGTAGGAATCTCAGTTTTCACATAAGTCGAAAGATGTTATTTATTCAATGGTTAAAAATGAGGGTCTATGATATACCCATCCTAGGCATTGGAGAAATGGCAGAAAATGAAGTAGACAAAAATCCCTGCCCTTTTGGAGTTTATGTTCAAGTGAAGAATGAAGTTTTCTGGTTCACATGATCTTCAAGATTATAATCTTTAACCAACTTCTGTGATTAGAAATCATAGAATGTGTTATAGAAAGACATACTTTAGTTGTAATTTTAGAACATTAAAAGTAGAAATCTGAGAAGCAAAGAGGTCACCACATATGGAAAGATTTCAGCAGGTTCAGCCATTGTAGAGGGGATTCAGGAATCTAATGCTAAGGATAAAAAAGGTTTGATAGGAAGGAGACTCATGGGGAGTCCTTTGCAAAACTGAGAACCAAGTACAGTCCTATTGTATTATATACTAGTGGTGCTTACATAGTTCGATCATTTTCTGTGTGACATGCATTTTGCTAAGTGCTTATCACACATCGTCTCACATATTTGTAACACTCATTATATAGGTGAAAAGAATGAAACTGTCAAATTATACTTTTAAACAGTTAAAAACATAACATGTAAATATGAAATGATGATGTATCAGACATTTTATGTGACTCCTTAATAGGGGAATTGGTGTGATGGTAAGACTGGTTCCAATAACATCTGGGGAGCTCCTTATTTATAGGTCTATTAGCATAGGGATGTTAGCAGAGATTGCTACCTTGGGTACAAGACTGGTAATGTCCCGAAGGGCAATAAACTATCACATTCGAGGTCATTTTCTCTACTGAAAAGAAATTATTTGCATCTTTATTGGATAAAAGTCTCCAAGTTAACATGTACCTATACTAAATGTGGAAACCTTTTTCAATAGTAGACTGAGTTCAACAAATGACATTCCCCTTAAATTCTTCTTGAGAGGGCCTGTTAAGCAATTCCCACATGTGATACTGAAAAAATAAAAACATAACTACATTTTGGCTTTCTTTTTCAAGTTTTGCATGATGTTTCTTAACATTAGAAGAATTAAGTAAGTTTTCAGGACTTTCTAGCTAGCAGTAATCAAGCTGGGTCTCCGACCGAGGTCTCTCCAGATGTCCACACTGAAATGAGCAGGTGCTCCCCATATAGCAGGTCTTTGGGGAGACATGGGCACAGGGTCTCGTGAATCATATCAGCATTGATTAGGACTAAGTCCAAGCTTCAGTGTTTTTGTTTGTTTTTTTTTTAAACTGGTAACCAGAACATTCAAAATTAACTTCTTCGACTATTTAAAATTTCTTCTGTTTTCCCCAAAAGAAGCTGGACACAAAACGTGAATAACAAACAATAAGCAGTTCATTAGCCATTTGCTACCACTGGCTCTAAGACAAAGGCTGAGAAACCCCACATAGAAATCTGATTCTTTACAATTTGTAGCAGCTATTTTCTCAGAAAGATTTCTTCCTCAACTTGTGGGATTTTATTTTGCTATTGTTGTTAATTCAGGATGTTGCAGTTTCCAAACATGGATATTGAAATTGTTAATAGTCTTCTATTTATAGAGTGGTAATTTTGAGCTCTTAAGGTATAAAGAGAAAGGCCAGTTCCCTAGAATGGCACTTTGTTCAGCCTCATGTAACTGACTGCAGATTTGATCTTGCTGTTTTTCTTTCCTGTGAGTTAATCTCAAGGAAAGAACTTCAGTGTTATGTTTAGGGAATAAATGGAAAGTAGCTGTGTGGCAGGCTTAATGTTCCAATAAGGCTTCAGGACAGTTCTCCAAGTTTAAGGTGATAGGCCCTTATTACATAAAGTTAAAGCAGCAGAAAACCAGCCACTCAACTACTTTACTCTAGAACTCACATTAGATGTGAGCAATTTTGCTTTTAGGTTAGAGAAAAGGTTTGGCTTTTCTCCATTAAAAATAAAGTAAACTGAAATGTATTTGTAGGCAATAATAAATAGTTTACATAGATTATCTCACTGAGTCCTTAACAATTCTATAGGTGGATTCTATTATTGTTCCCATTTCACAGATGCAGAAACAGATGGAGAGAGGTTAAGAAAGCTGATCAGGGCTTATAGCCAGTAAGATGCAGAGCTAAGATTAGAACCAGGCCATCTGATTATAAGGCTAGATGATATCACCTTCCCAAATTATGCTGCAGTAGAGAAAGCACGTAGAAAAAGAGAGCATGCCAGTTAGAACGGTGATCATTAAAAAATCTGGAGACAACAGATGCTGGAGAGGAGGTGGAGAAATAGGAACACTTTTACACTGTTGGTAGGAGTGTAAATTAGTTCAACCATTGTGGAAGATAGTGCGGAGATTCCTCAAGGATCTAGAAATAGAAATTCCATTTGACCCAGCAATCCTATTACTGGGTATATACCCAAAGGATTATAAATCGTTCTATTATAAAGACACATGCACATGTATGTTCATTGTGGCACTGTTTACAATAGCAAAGACCTGGAACCAACCCAAATGCCCATCAGTGATACACTGGACAAAGAAAATGTGGCACATATACACCATGGAATACTATGCAGACATAAAAAAACAATGAGTTTTTGTCCTTTGTAGGAACATGGATGAACCTGGAAACCATCATTCTCAGCAAACTGACACAAGAACAGAAAATCAAACACTGCATGTTTTCATTCATAGGTGGGTGTTGAACATTGAGAACACATGGACACAGGGAGGGGAGCGTCACACACTGGGATCTGTTGGGGGATGGAGGACTAGGGGAGGAATAGCGGGGTATGGGGAGGGTGGGGAGGGATATCACTGGGAGAAATGCCTGATGTAGGTGACGGAAAGATGGAGACAGCAAACCACCATGACATGTGTGTACCTATGCAACAATCCTGCAAGATCTGCTCATGTATCCCAGAATTTAAAGTACAATGAAAAAAAAAAAAGAGAGAGAGAGAAAGAGCACTAATCCCATTTCTAGCTTCAGCTCTGCTATAAACTGTCTTTAAAACCCTGGACAAGTCATCTCATCTGTCTGGGCCTCTACTTCCCTCTGTAAAATAAAGGGTAGAAACTAATTTGGATTGGATGATCTCTGGGGTGTCTTCCAACTCCAAAGATCTGATTCTGTAATTGCATCCTGACCTTAGATGTGTACAAGCACCTCCCACGCACCCCCACCACTGCTTCCCAAGCCGAAAAACTAATCCTGCTGAAAGTGTCCACTGTAATTTGATGCTAAGCTCAGACCCCGCTGAATCTACAATATCCCCTCAAGAACATACAACACTTAACAATCAGGCAAGCCAGTTCTTTTGAATAAGTTGCTAATGGGGTGTGATTTTTGGAAGTAACATGTTAATACCAAAAACAGAAAAAAGAAAACAGTTCAAAACAAATGCTCCTCTCTTAAAATCACCGCTTTTCTACAGTGTTACCTTGACAACTTAGCTCTGGCTCTTTACATATGGGGGTTTTCAGTGTGGGAGAAGAGGGGTGTCCTCCTATTTCGAGGTTTCCTCTTGTTGCATTGAAAGGGAAAATGTCAAAGGTAGAGCCCAAAATCCAGCAGAATGTAGGTACGAAGGGCATCTTGAGGGAGTGTCATCCAGAAATCATCACAGGTGCACAGAATTAGGACGCATTCTGATTCAAAGTACATTCTTGTTTCTATTTCTCATAACCATAATACACATTGCAACAGCCTAGAAAATGTTACATTTTTGGACCAGCACAGTTACAGAGCAGAGAGCAACAAAAGTGCCTAAAAAATAATTGCATTCTTTTTAGTTACTGCAGCCAGAGATATACATATCAGGTTGAGGGGACAACTCCGAAGAACTGTACCCGTCTGGAAATGCTAAAAATATTGCTCCCCCTCCAGCAACTCAAATTTTGAGCAAAGACTTAGGAAGCGGCAGGTAGGGAGATCAAATTAGAATTTATGTCTCTCAGCTGTAATAAGCTTGTTATCAGGGCTGGCAAGAGCTCAGGGGGCTGACAGGGGTCAGCTGGGGACTCAAGTGTAAGGAGCAAGTGAAAAAGGGGCAGTGTTGAGCAGAAGAGAGGGCTTATCTCCAGCATCTAGCACTACAGAGCAGAGGCTGTGTGGAGAATGGCTGCAAAATCAGAATTGGTGGTAGAAGCAGTTTCCTTTCTGGTTGTGAGTATGAGCCCGGCAGACACCATGAGCGCTGTTGCAGGGGAGTGAGCCTGTGCTTGACACATGTGTTTCCCATTGATAGCTGGAGACAGCCTAGTAGCTGTGAGTCGGTCTGACAAAGCCATATTGAAGTACAGAGTACGGTTTCAGAGCAGTCAGAAAAAGAACGGGAATGCTGTTCAGGAAATTCTTCAGGCATGGGCAGGGACTTGGCTGCAGTTCTGCAGTTGGAAAATCTGACTGGGGCAGCTTCTGAGCACAGGCTGGGCCTGCTCACACTCAGTGGGCCGAGTGGCCACCTCCTTCAGAGCTGCTCAGCAAGCCCTGGGATCGCCAGCGGTTTTCATCGGCCGGTTTGTGAACTGGACAAGAGAGGTAGGGTTCCGTTCAGTTCTTGCCTTTGCACGCCTCTGTTCACTCTCTAAGCTGTCTGCCTGCTGTGTTTGCAGGCACTCCGAGTGTGTGTGTGTGTGTGTGTGTGTGTGTGTGTGTGTGTGTGTGTGTGAATTAGCAAGTTACAACTCGGTCATGTCAACAATTGGTATGGGGCTCTCATCTGTGCTTTTCCCCCTTTAAGGTCTGATTTTCAGCAGTGCAGAGAGACTTTTTTTAAGTTAGGATGTAGCTGGCAACATTATTGTGTAAGGAGAAGTATGTGAATTCCTTACGTTGTCACCCTGCTCCAACCATCTGTAACTTTTCCTTTCTGCGTGGAAGCACCGTTCGCTGGCAAGGAGGATAATTTTAGATGAAACTGTCTGTGTACTTTGCTTCACAAGAGTTTTAAGAGAGGGAGGTTTTTCTTTTCTCTCTTTTTTTTCTTTAGCAGAAAATGGCTCTCATTTTAGGAGGGAATCAGAGTTTGAAGTTTCTATGTTGGATAACACTCTCAGAGTGTCAAAACAGACACGTGTGTATGGGTTTCTAAGATCTTTTATAGGGAGTTTGACTGTCATATCTGGGATTTGATTGTCAGTGATACATTTGCCTAGAAGTATGCTGGATCAACATTTGTAATTCTGTTTCTATAATCATTTCCAATTTTCTCATTGAAGTAATTTGCAGTTTTACTGTCAAAAAGTACTTCTGTATTTTAGGAAACATAGATTAAAAAAGTAACAGAAAATGGCAGTTTACTCAAAATTCTTCTTAAAGGACAGAGACATAATGGTGTGAATCTTATTTCATTGATCACTTGGTTTTATTTTACACCTTACTGAAAAAGAGCTTTTTATAAAAAATCAAAGTCTAAAAAATTTTCAGCACAACAGGGATCTCAGTTTTCCTCTTCAGTTTTGATTCTTCCTTATCAACTCTATTGCAATATAGATGTTTTTCCTCTCCTAGGAAAGCTATACCTTGTTTTCTGTACAGCATTTAGAAAACACACAGTACAATGTCATTGCCTTTGAGAGACTGGTTTGGACCAGGCAAAGCCGAGCTAAACCTTACAACTGCTTCACGATGACTAGCCCCGCAATCTGTGACAATTGTTTTTCTCTGAAGGGGGTTTGGCCAGGAGCCTGGCTGGGGCGGTGGATGAATGAATGGAATCTTGGAAACTTCTTGAGTAGCTGAAGAGGGACTAGACCTCTTAGGGTGGATCCCTGTGACAACAGGTGTGCGTTTACTTGTGTCTTACGATCTTTAAACAAGTAGCTAATAGAAGAGCATAAGATTAATTCTGAAAAAAATGTGGAGAGCCACTGTTTCTCATTTCTTCCTCTGCCCAGGACCCAGAATGAGTAGGCACATTTTCCGTCCTATTGGTAGAAGGTCAGGATTTTCAGCCAGCAATTTTCTTTCTTCCTTCACTGTGTTGTACTTGGAGAAGGGAACTGAGACATGACTAGCAGCAGGATATCTTTATTCTAAGAGATAGCTCATGAACATTTTGCTTATTAATTTCATCTTTGTGTCAGGGTGGTGTGGGGAGAGCTTACGGACCACAGGACTTCAGGAAAGGAAGTGGTTGTAGAAGTCAGGACGGACTGTGATCTTACTTTTTTTTCCCTCTAAAGCGCCTAAGTGAGCAAAATGCCAAGACAGATTAGGAACTGGCATGAACCATAGCCAAGCCCATTGTCAATGAAAAAGGGAGCCTTCCGTGAGCTTGAGTGTCATACTTCTCTAAATTTAGCGTGTGTCAAGCATCCAGCAGAAGAGGAGTGAAACGGCAACTCCAGGTTGCAGGATTATAAAGAGCAGTGCCAGAAACTTGGTAGAAACTCTTTAATAGTATTTCTCTTTTTTTGGAAGTAAAGCAGGGAAAAGTCAAGCTCTCTTGACATTTGAAGAGGAAAAAGTAAGCAGAAGAAAGGGGAAGGATACAGAGGAAGAAATCCAGGGCAGAGGTGGAGGCAGTGAAGGGAGAGAAGTGGCCACGCCACAAACTGGGCAGTGAGTGTGGAGGGAGGAACCCTTAGCACAGGAATGAAACACATGTATTAGAAACAGCCAAAGCCACTGGGCACTGATTATTGGACTGGAAATGTGCAGATACTCTGTGGCCTTGGTGAAGAGAATTGTTTTAGCCACTTCACCACAGGAGACAGCAGGGTCAGCCTGCCCTGCCTTCTGGAAGTAATCAGAAAGTATATTTTGTAAGAATGGCATTGCCTGAGGGTTCAGATTTCCTAGGCAAGGAGGGAGCAGGCTCTTAAGGCCTTATTTTTAACCCATATTTGTTCCTTGCAGAGACATTACTGCCGGGAGTGTTGAGTGAAGGGACCAGGTGGAGATGGTGAGTAATTCCAGGGAGCAAAGCTTGTTCAAGGCCCTGTGCATGGTCATTTTATTACTAACATAAACTTCAGAGAGAACAAAGTGTTATATATGCCTTATTCTGATGAAGACATCTCTTTAATTCTACTTTTTCATTTTACAAAATCTCCAAGGACACATACTACATTGTTGCCTGTCCATGTGTTGACTGTCCCAAATCCAAAAGTCTAAACTCTGAAATGCTCCAGTTTGAAACTTTTTGAGCACTGATATGATGCTCAAAGGACATATTTGTTGGAACATTTCAAATTTTTGGTTTTCAGATTTGGAATGCCCAATGGTAAATGTAATGCAAATATTCCAAAACCCAAAAAAATATGAAGTCAGAAATGCTTCTGGCTTCGAATATCTTGGATAGTTTCCTAAGCCATGTCTGAGGAATGTGCTAGTACTGGGGGCAGAAGTGGGGTTGAGAGAGGAGGAAAGGTAGAGGTGGTCAGAAATCTTAGGTAAGGTCCTAGCCCTGTTCATCTTCAGATCTCATGTTTCCCATCTGTAAAATGATCAGATACCTCTGAATGTTTTTCTGTTTTCACAACCTATGATTTTTGTAATCCTGAGGTTCTTCCTTTTCATTAAGAACAACTCTTCGTCTGTCTCCCTTAAGCTCGCACGTTTGAGTCATTTCACCATTTCTCCATTTTTTCCTGGACTCTTTCTTTACTCTTCTCTGAACATATTTCCTTGAGCCTTCTCCTGACAAAAACAGTGGCTCCTTGAACTCACCTTAGTCATCTGAACAATGCACATTCCATGGTGAGGACTCCATACATTTGTGAACCAGAGAGGAAGAGGGTGATTGTAGGGAAAGGGGGAATGGTAAGAAAGAAAGAATGGAAGGTGGGATCATCTTGAGGTAGAAGAAAAATGGTTATATTGACTCAGCTCAGGGTCTGAGTCTAACACAGACTGGGATCCTGGCTGTGAGGCCTTAGGCAAGTTACATTGTCTCCAAATGTGTCCCAATGTTCTAATCTCTAAAATGGACATGATAAAAGTATCTACCTCATGGGGTGTTGTGAGATTGTACAGCTAATGCGCTTGGCATTGTCCTTTGCACACAGTAAGCACTTAAATATGTCAGACATATTAATACATGTGGTTCAGATGGACTGAGATAGCCCCAGACAAATCATCAGTGAAATAGGAAGATCAAGGTAAAATGAAGAATTGAGACAACCAGCAAAGGATAGGATGTTTTACTCTGAATTGTCTGGGTTACTTTTCCTATGTTGCCAAAATTTCTCTAGAGATACCGCATTTCCCTTTGTTTCACTTTTGTTTGCCACACAGAAAGGTCTTCATTATTGTTTCAAATTCCTGTTGCAGAGTGTGAAGTGCCTCATATAAAGGAAATCATGTAAGCTGTGGCCTCTGACCTGCTTCTCAGACAGGTCTGTAGGACTCAGGAGAAACATGTCACCATGGTTCACTAAGTATATAAATCCTGTGAGATTGGTTTGCTCAGAAAGCTTTGCTGGTGGGTGTATTAATGGAGCCCACGGTGTGTAGGAAGATAGGGATGCAATCACTTTATTCTTCTTTTTCACTGATAAAGCAATGGCACCTATTAGAGCAAGCACAATTCCCTGATAAAAACTATATTGCCAGGGATTAGAAACTCCCTCCTTGTTCAGACCACTTTTCCTTGCCAGTGTGATAGGATCAGACTCTCTTGTGAGCACCTTGACTTCCAAATAATATATTGTGAATGCCTGGAAACCCTGCTGTTACTTGCTGGAGTTGATGTATTCAGCCACTGAAACTATTTTCATCAAGTTCAGAGTAAATAAATATCAGGGTAAACTCCTCTCTCTAAATGAATCATTCAACCACATCTTGCACTAACCCTGACTGAGGTTGTGGTATCAGCGCTGTGTATTCAATGAAAGAAGACTGCTCCAGGGTAAGGACAGCGGGGAACAGAGCCACACTGTGTTCCTTTCATTCCTGTTGTTACCTATGGTTGACTTCTCTCCTCTCTCTTGTTCTATGATCTTTCTAGCCCTTTCTTTCTGTTTCTTTATTGGGTTCCATTCACCCTTGCAAAATTCTTTTTGTTACTTTTTCAGTGTGTGCTTACCAAAGTCCTTATCTGCTTCCCTGAGGGGTCAGGAATATTGGTAATAGACCAGTGTCTGGACAGCGTAATTTTTACCAAGTAATGAGAAAGATGAACTCCTAACATTGGCTGAAACCTTTTTCTTTTCTTTTTTTTTTTTTTTTTTTTGAGATGGAGTTTCGCTCTTGTTACCTAGGCTGTAGTGCAATGGCGTGATCTCGGCTCACCGCAACCTCCGCCTCCTGGGTTCAGGCAATTCTCCTGCCTCAGCCTCCTGAGTAGCTGGGATTACAGGCATGTGCCACCATGCCCAGCTAATTTTTTGTATTAGTAGAGATGGGGTTTCATCATGTTGACCAGGATGGTCTTGATCTCTTGACCTCATGTCCCCATCTCTCTCTCTCCCTCTTTCTCTCTCTCATGTTTCCAGGCTGCTGATCCAAAAACCAGGTCATAAACTGGCAACCCAAAGGTTTGGATAATAGGCACATTTTGGCTCACAAAGTATTGTTTTTTCTTTAATTAGTTACATATTTAAACATCCTAAGATGTTTATAAGGTAAACATCTTATACCTTATAAAAGTCTAGATGTCTAGATCTTCTAGAAAAAGCTGAAGATGGGCATCCCCGATCAGATTTCTTGGGCACAGCAGCCGGTGAGCTCTGGTCAGCTCTTGTTCTTTTTAGAGGGCATATCCACCTCATTCATTGACCCCACCTTCTGACTTCTATGTGTTTACATTAGTCCACTCTGTTTTTCTAAAGAGAGTTTCTCAGCTGAACCAAAGAAAGTAGACAGTGATTTGAGTGACCATGTTTTCTGTTCTCTCAAGGGTGGTGCATATTCCAGATGCATAGGAGAGAAGTTAGGGCATAACTAAGCTGTGACTTCACTCTCTGGGAGAACACTGTTGAGATGGTCTAAGTATCTACTGAGCAGAGTTGTAGGAGGGCAGTATGGTGGCCAAGAATGCAGGTCTCAAAGTTAGGCATCCCTTGGCATAACACCTCATCGGATTATAGCTAAGACCAAGAACTTCAAATGTGATCGAAATCTGAACAGCCACCACCTCTGGGGATGTGAATTGATTAAGAAAAGGCACAAGGAAATTTTCTTGGGTGATAAAAATCTTCCCTCTCCTGTTTCAACATTGTTCCCAATGATGTTCAGATCTGTAAATCTCACTGGGCTATGGAGCCAATAGCTGTTTATTTCACTAGAAGTAAATTATACCTCAACAGATGTACATACACATATACATACCTACATGAAAGCATGCAAAGTGCTTAGAAAAATGCATGATCATTAGCCATTTTTATCGTGCTTGTTTCTAGAAACTGATTTTTAAAAAAGATAAAATGACCAAAAATAAAATGAGTGTTTCCTTTCAGACCACAGGTTTCATTGCAGGCATTTGAGAGCACAGGTAATAGCTAAAGATTCTTGCCAGACATAATTGTCAAGGGAGAATCTACTGGATCAATTCTAATTGTATGAAACTATTGAATCACTATAGAAGGATGTGCCTAATTTGTTGTAGCTGCTTTTCATGATGCTGTAAAAATTTATAGGCTTTAGAGACATATCAAAGATGGTTTATTACCTGGGACAAAATGACTATACTTAGAGCAACTTGCACTCTGGCTGGAATACAGTAGCCACTCAATAAGTATTCAATAATGTGTCTTAAAATTAATATCTATATTGAGAACTTCTAGCTAAAACAATCACAAAAATATTGTTTTCATTGGTAATCACATCGCTATAACCAATTATTCACATATATCTAGAAACATTTAATATAAGAATTAAGAGAACAGATCTTCCAGCCAAACACTCTGGGTTCAAATGCTTGCTATGCCTTTAACAAGCAAAGTGATTTGGAATAGGTTACTTAACTACTCTTTCTCATTGCCTCAACTGTAAAATAGAAATGATTGTGAGGCAGGTACTAATTATACGTCTCTGATGGTTAAATACAGGTAGAACAATGTCTAGTACATAGTGCCATTATACAAGTGTTTGTCATTTATGTGTGCTTTCTTTATGTCAAAAAAGTGATCTTCTTTTGCAATTTGCCTTTAAATATTGCTCAGAATCTGTGTGTAGGTGGTTGGTGAAAGGAATGTGAACTAGGAGTTCAACCAGAAAAGACAGAAACCTGAAATTTATAGGAAACATACTGGTTTTCAGTTTGGCTGACTGCTTTTGTTACTGCCTTACTCTGTGACCTTGAGTAGGTCATTTCGCCTCCCTGAACCTTGTTTTCTTATTTGTTAAATAAGGATTTGGATTTTATATTGTCCATGTCCCCTTTAGGCCTTGTGTGTCACTCTCTGATCTCAAGTGTTTGAGTCGTGTTCATTACTGTTTTATTACACCTCTTGGTCCCCAAGTCACAGAAGAGCTGTAGTAGCTTGACTCCTATTGTCATTATCTGGTTCTGGTGGGAATCATCCATGGGTAATCAGCAAGCACCAGCCTTGTACAACACAAAGTAGCTGGTTAGCTGAGAGGATCTGCCACTCCTATGAAGAAAGCTAACCATAGAAGTAGCCACAATGGGGTAGATACAGTATCCTCTGCATGTGAAAATGGTTCCATTAAATCTGTGATCAGATATTTGAAATTGTTTTTCCTTCACAAGGGCACTCAGTTAACATATTCTTTTCTGGTCCTCAGCTTGCAACATCAAGGACCAGCCTAGTTTCAAATAGAGCCAAATCTTCAACAATTCTTGCAGTGCCTTCATGTATTTGCTCAATTACAGCCTTCTCCATGAGATAAACTTTTCCCAGGCTTTTAAAAATTGAGCCTGCTGTATTCCCCAGCCCCTGGTACTGCTGGTCTATTTTCTTTCTCTTTTTTTTTTTTTTTTTCAGGTGGGGCTCTTCC